ACACGCACTCCTGACCAGGTGAAAGAGCTGCCATGAAAAGGTATGTCTATCAGATCACTCCCTGCTAGACAGTCTTTAAAATATGTCATACTAACCAAGTGTGGTATGGCTTTTCCTTTGTGTTCAACATGATTTGTAATGGCATTAAAATCACCCCAACCATCCAAGCTTCCTTATTAGTTGCAACCCAATTTATGAGAAAAGACCAAAAGGATCTTCGCTCAATATAGTTATGATCTCCATATACTGCAGTAAACCAAAAACTATGGGAACCAATCAAGCTAATCTTCATATGGATATATTGCTTTTCCTAGGTAAACTCACCAATCTTCATGATAGATGAATCCCAAAAAAGCCATATTTTATTTTCCTGGCACAAAAAAAACTATCTAAACCCAGTTCCAAGGAGAAAGATTGAATTTTAGACTCCTGACTAATAGGTTCAATTACTGTAAGAAGTTTAATATTCCAATGCAGGATAAGGTGCTTCAGTCGAGGGCATGAGGAATCCATGCCACATACATTCCAAATCAGACTATTCATCAGGCCATAGAAGAAAAAGTTTGTGACAGCTTTCTAGCTGCATTCCTGGTAAGCCTTGGCGTATCAGAAATAATTTGTGCTGGAACTTTCTTCTTCTTTCTGGTAACCTGGATAAATCCTTCATCATTTGAGTATGTGTCCATGTTTGCCAATAACTTATCACTATCCACTTGGATCTGTTGCCTTTTGTTAAGCAGAATGGTAACCTTTTTGGTAAGTGCATGTTGGCCCTCTTTCCACTTCTTTATATTATCTAGAAAGCAAAAATCACCATCTGATGAGTATCCTTTCGCAGCTAATTTGGGATCATATTTCTGTCGCTGAATAAGCTGGAGCAATTTATAGTCATCCACAGCCCGTTCCTTCTCTGGTACCACATTTCCTTCTTCTTTATTTGTATCCTTGCTGCTTATTTGCATCCTTACAGTCCTCTCTTCTTTAGTAGCAGGATTAAGACTAGACTCTATGTTGCTTTGGTGAAGTTGCTTTGGTGGCGCCTCTGTGTACACTTCCTCAATGTAAGAGTCAGACATCAAAGGCAAGGGGACATCACTGGACGAAGATGGAAAACAGACAACTTCTGAGATTTTGTTTTTACCTTTGTCAATAGCATTAGAATTTCCTTTAGCCCCGTCTGTAATAGTAGCATTAGTATCCCCTTTAACCCCGTCTGTAATAGTTAATTGAATGGGTTTAGCAACCCTTTCAGGATCAATCTCCTTCATTGAGTTAACCTTAGCAACCCACTGTCCTTTAGCCACCCCTTGGTCTGAAGAGGCACCAACATGCTCAATATATCCATGATTGTTATTATCCCCTTTATCCATCTCAGGCCGTTTAGGACAAGTAGCCTCCTTATGCCCTAAGTGAAGGCAATAGGAACAATAGAAAGGGCGATTCTCATAATACACTGGTTGAGCAAAACCACTCGCTCCACATTGGATCCAAAGTTTTGAAGGCAAATCTTTGGATACATCAACCTCGACATATACCCTGGCCAGGGATGGCCTTGAAAATGTTTCAGTAGCTGCATCAATTTTTAAAGGTCTTCCAACCAACCCAGCTATATCAAATTAGGCCCTGCGATCATGCAAATGCAAAGGCAATCCCTCTAGAGACAACCAAATTGGGACAACCGGGGATTCAACATTAGGTTTGAATTCCGGAGTCCATTTAGTCACCCGCATAGAATTACCGAAGATATCCCAAATTCGTCTATTCCAACAACGAATATAGTCTTCCTCAAGATCAAAACGAATCAAAATATGCTTCTTCTCTAGCAGACCCAAATGAAAACCACCTTTAAAAGCTATCAAATCAAAAGCTTTATGTAGGGTAGGTAAAGAAGGCCGACCCTTAAAGAAATATCCAACCAACGCCCTATTATGTTTGGCCACCAGAAGCTTGATCTCCTCCTCTGGGAATGTAATAGCTGGCATTCCCTTAAACCTAGAAGAAGTCTTGGCCGATAAGGGAGGATCCTTGTTAGCAACGACTGCAGCGAACGAACGACCTCCCCAGGCCTTTTGTCCATCCTGTGCAGGGGGGTCTCCTTCAACGATCGACTTTTCCGTCATCGCCTCACCTCCAATAACTCGCCCTTGGTTTTGAGACAAGAGTTGCGCGAGTTGCCAGGAGCTCATGGAGCAGTAGGGCCTGATAAAACAGCTCTAAGTCTCTATATATTCTATTCCTCATATTATTCTGGTAGAGCACGTAGATTAGAAATTCTCTCTCTAACTTGTTCGAGTACTGTGTATTGTTCATCATGGATTCATCATTCTATATTATTGGTGAAATTTCTCTTCTACCGTTTTAATTCTTTCTATTATTATTGGAATATTCGACTGTTGAAATCTGGGCATAGTTCACACAATCCGTGAAAAAACATACTCCCTCCAGTTCTGAAAGATCTTTACACTTTCCATTTTTAGCAGTACCAGAAAGATCTTTACACTTCCTTATTTGCCTTATTTGGCAAATAAATCTACTCAAAACAGTGCCAAACAGTGTCAAACAGTGCCAAACAGTGTACTTTACAGTAAAGTCAAATTTATTTCTTTAAAAACTGTGAAGTCAAAGTGTCAAGATCTTTTGGAACCGGAGGGAGTATTTAATTACCTTAGGTAATCTCATGAAATTAACTCACTAATTATAAGCAACATAGTCAGTCATCCTCACCTTAAGATGTGCTACAATAGTTGCCTTTGCTAATCTCCTCGATCAATCCCCGTTCTAGGCCGATTGAAAGTGAAAATCCTGGACAACAGCCAAAAGCCAGGCGGTTTTTGCAAAAGGTGGGCGGCTTTCGGGCCTGCAACTCGAAAACAGTCCCCAACAACGGCGATTTTCCGGCGGTTTCAACTCCTATCGATTCCACGACTCTTCTAAGTTAAATACCATCACTTTATATCAATATTCTACATTTTTAAATGTGTAGAACCTCATGTTTAATCTACCATATGATTTCTTAAAAATCATACACAATAAAACTACTTAATAAATACTAGTTGGAGTCTTACCTCAATTTCTAGCCTTTTTGTGTTGGATTTCCTTTTCTTCCTGCTTTCTCCTAGCTTGAGCTATGTGGGAAGCTTTCCTAGAGCTCTCTCTATTGTTTTGGTGGAGTGAAGCTAGGGATAAGGGGGAAGCATATCTATGCGATCAACAAAAAATAATTAGGGGATGGGGTCATGGGGTGTTGTTTTTGTCCCTAGGAGGCTTCATCCTCTTCCATGTCCACACAAGCCACTTTGGGTTGTCCCACATCCCTATTATTTGAGTCAAATTAGTGTGTAGAATACCCCAAGTGAGTGTAGGAAGTCCCTCCCTATTATCCTGCTATTTTTGGCAGGTTGGGTCAAAATAGCACACAAGTTTTCCAAACCTTTTCCTCGACTTTAGTTGGCATATTATTGGGCTTCTAAAATTATTACGATGACCCAACTAAATATTTGGTAGCCATTCTCAATATTACGGGCCCAATAAATAATTTAATTAATCATTCATTAATTAAATCCATCATTCTTTTACACGAAATTATTCGCTAGGAAATTCAAATACATACTGAATTTTAAATTCAAGTACATCCGGGAGCGGTGTCACAGCTTATATGCCTAAGATTTGCCAAGTGTGGCTTGAACACTTGTGTTAATGTTTCCGGTGCTTTGATGAATATTTTACATTATGTTTGTTTATGGATGTACTACGTGTGAATGATATTCCAGACGCCTTGTATAGTATGGATGTGTTGGACTGCGGTTGACTGTTCGTACTGTACGACGGGTTGTTGATGTGTCCGGGTAGGTCCAGGACGTGACATATAGGGCGGGTAGGAGTGTTAGAGATATGAGCACGCGTATGAAGTGATCCCCACATATTATATTATATTCTTGTGTTCATGAATGTTTATGTGTCTATATATGCATAAGATTATTTTGGACATTTTAATGTTAAACGGTGTTTTAAATCTTTTGAAGTAAACATGAGCTTACAACACTACTTAATAAGCACCATTTAGTAATCCGTGAGGTAAACTTGTCCTCACATAGTAACATACTAACATACCGTTTCCTGTAACTTTTGCTACGCCGTGGCCGCGTCCGCTTCCTCTGGTGTGACAACCTTGGTTGCTTGGTGTAGTGGATTTGGATTTTGTTTGCTAAAAGGAGATGTGCAAATTAGTTAATAATTTTATGTAAGATTCATTTTCGTATCAGCACCATGTATGGAGTAATAAAATAATTTATCGATATATTTATCGCCTCTGCAGTTTACCCAATGCCGAGGTGTTGTAATTGCAAATTCCTCAATGCCTAAGAACAGGTTCTAGCAACTTGAACAGAGAGACAATGAGTAGGCACATGTTCTTTGAGATCGTTTGAGGGGTTCTTTGAATAGAGAGACAATTGGGAAAAATCATTTGAAGGGGCAAACATTGTCATCAACTTTGGACATACCCACTTATATTAGACTTTTGCAGATTCCTATCAAAACTTTGCCTAGGGTATTTTTGTACTTTGACAAAATTTTATATAATTTTTTTATCAACTTTAACACTTTTATTAAAATCACTTTTATTTAAAACACTATTGACTTTCACTGCCAAACACTTTCTTCAAAATCATTTTAAAAAATCATTTTTAAGTAAAAGGCATGACAAACCCTTCCTTTTGGAATTAATTCCACTTTAGGTCCTCCGAGTTTTGTGTCATTTCCATATTTAGTTCTCGTCTTTCACTTTATCCATTTTTGGTACCTTACTATTGTTTTCTTGACCATTTGTGGTCCATTTCTGAACATTTTTACTATCGAAAAAGGACTATATATGATCAAGAAAACAATAATCAGGTACAAAAAATGGATAAAATGAAAGACGAGGACTAATTGTGGAATTGGTTCAAAAATCGAAGGACTAATTGTGGAATTGTGGAATTTCTTCCTCCCTTTTGTTCATAGAATTTTAGCAGGAAATACTCCATATTGTAGATTGTTTCGCCAAAAACAAACAAACTCACTGACTCGGTCCTCACCTTTCTCCAGCACCACCCAAATGCTCTGCCATTACATCGTCTTCAGGCGGCCTTGCGCTGTGAATTTACCACTTTTCCAGTCACACATACGCTGTTATAGTGTCCTGTAGTTCGACTCGCTAGTTCTCACCAGTTTTTGCTTCATATTTCCTTGTTTATCAGGTTTAAGCAGAATTCCAATTATAATAGGAGTATTTCATTGTGCCGTTTTACATTGGCAAGTTCTTATTTTATGGGTCTTGAAACAATGGGTCCCTTGTCTTTTAGCAGGTAGTCGTTCCTCAATGCTGAAACATTTAGGTGTAACCCTGCTATGAAGGGAGACATGTTGGCATCTAGTGATACCTTATGGAAATCTGGACTTGAATTCTCCATATTAGGCCATTTTCCTCTTAAACAACAAGGTAGATCTTTTAGAAGAAATGCCCGGTGTGGATACTCAAAAATGCCTTGCTGTGGTATTTGTAAGTCCTGGATGATGGGGAGATGCGGTCCTGTACATCTCTTCATTCCACTTCCATCTAAAGGTATGTGCTTCTCTTGCTGTCCATTTTCGTGTCTTCCCAATTGTTAACTATTTCTTCACTAAATTGCTTCCAGTAAATTGACAGATGAAAACAAGCTTGTGAAGTGTTTCAAAAACAGTTCAAACGTTGTGGAGCACATTCCAAAAGACCTCATCCAGGAAAAGTTTTCTCAGGAGGAATCATATTTTGTATCAGGTGATGTTTTGCTTGAAGAAACTGATATTAGCTCACATTGTAGAAAAATAAGGAACAGAATTGTTGAGGAGCCGTGGTTATTGCAGCCGTCATTGGTTTCTCATCAAGCTTCTGAATCAGATGCTTCTGGTGCTACTGGTGATGATGATGAATATTTAAACAGTCTTCATATTGACAGAGAATCTCAGGTTAACTGTCTCATTGAACTTGGTACATCAGATAAGAGGAACAGTGACTCTCCAGTGACCTCTTACAAATCAGGTTTTCCTATTGAGGAGCCCTGGATGGCTGAATCGGTGGTCAATTTTTCCATTTCTAATGCCCATTTGGCACTTGATATGCCTACTTGTGAACAACATGCTAGAAGGATTGAAGCTCACCATACAACACACAATGAGCATTGTCCAGAATTCGAGAAGCCATTGTCTTCTGAAAGTGATTTAATTACCAAGGCAGATTCAGTTACGACGGTTATATTAATAAACTCTTCTGTTTGCACAATGCAAAGGATTGCTATTTTAGAAAATGGGAGTTTAGTAGAGTTGTTGTTAGAGCCTGTAAAAAACAAGGTGCACTGTGATAGTGTATATCTTGGTGTAGTTACCCAATTAGCCCCCCAGATGTGTGGCACGTTTGTAAATATTGGCAGCAACCAAACAGCATTTATGAACATCAAGTCCCGGAAAGAGCCGTTCATATTTCCTCCTTTTTCACATGATAGACAAACCATTGCCATCGAGTCTGCCGAAAATTCAGATCATTTTGAAACTGAAACTACTTCAGATGAAGTTATAGAGGAGGATGACACAGATGATGATTCTGTTGAATATTCAGAACATGATTTTGAGGAGCAAGGAAATCATGATAAGGTTCATAGTTCTGTAGACATTGAAGGAAATGTTGGCCATGGTGGTGAAACTCATTTCCATAGACACCCGTTCAAAAAAAATGTCCCTCATCTTGAATATAATAAAAGTAAGTGGGGGCAAGTTCGGAAAGGTACAAAAATAATTGTACAAGTTGTTAAGGAAGGACTGGGTAGAAAGGGCCCCACAGTAACTGCTTATCCACAACTGCGAAGCCGATTTTGGGTACGGAATTCATGTATTCATATTTTGTATATGTCTAATGGCTGCAAATATTAGTTAGTCCCACACTGGACACTTATAGGTATCTTCACTAGCTCTAATGCGGAGGGCAATCCTTCACTCCTAGTTGTGCCTTTTGTGGCATTAGGATTACTGAATCTAATATTGTATTAGAGCCCATGTTTGATACTGGGGCCACCCGTAGATGCGTGCTTTTGTGAACCTCATGCTTCGGGATGTCCAGTCGCCAGCGGCAGTCCTCGGGCGTGCTAGAGTCCTAATTTGGACCCTTCAGGTTATATTCAATAGCTAACATAGGAAGAAAAATCCTCCACTTCTAGAGATACCTTTTGGGTGTGAGTTAAGGGAAATAAATCTAATAATATATGTGCACTAAATATTTATCATTATGACCTCAGGTTTTAAAAGCTAGCGGCAACACAATAGGGATCTCAAGGAAGATATTTGGTGGTGAGCGCACTCGCCTGAAAGTAATAGCAAAAACCTTACAGCCACCAGGTTTTGGTGTTACTGTAAGAACTGTTGCTGCTGGTCATTCGTTGGAGGAATTGAAGAAAGATTTGGAAGGTTTGGTTTCAACTTGGAAAGTTATAATGGAGCATGCGAAGAGTGCTGCTCTGGCTGCAGATGAAGGAGTAGACGGAGCAGTTCCTATTATGCTTCATCGGGCTATGGGTCAAACACTCTCTATTGTCCAAGATTATTTTAATGACAAGGTGTGATATTTTCATGCATTCACTCCTAGCATTTGTTGTTTTTAATTAAAGACAACAAATGTAAGTTTCTATTACAGTTTTCACAAGTCACTTGATTTCAAATTTTATGGTGGCCAAAACTCTTCAGGTTAAGAGTATGGTGGTTGATTCTCCAAGGACATATCATGAGGTAGCATTTAATGATGAAACACTTTTTATTTAGCTTGTGTGTTTAAATTTCTTATAGATTTAAAAGTGATTGGTGTAAACTGCATGGTGCAGAGAGCATTTGAGCTACATTATCATATGCTAAAAGCCCAAGACTATGTTTGATAGAGAAGTAGTTAGGCGAGAAATGAAATAAAAGACAGTGTGGATGAAGTTAGGCGAGAAAAGAAATAAAAGAGAAAAATAATCAATTTGCACTTTGCACTAAAAAGTGCATTTCTCCTTTCACCCCATTTGAGGCCATACACTTATAATTCACATTTATTTGCTCTGAATCTCATAAACCATAAATTCATTGGAATCTCTGCATTCCCTTTTTTTTTCGCGTCTCTTGTTTGCCACCCTATTTCTCTTCTTCCTAATACATGCTAAAAGAGATACTTGGTAATAAATAATGAAATAACACTGAATTTGTTAGGGACCTGAACACTACCAATAATTAGAGCCTTATTAAGTCATTTTAATTTTGTTCAATAATAGGGTTTAGGCCCTATAACTTATTAGAAGTGGGCTGGCCCATTAGAAATAGAATAAATAAGGGTGAGTGGTTAGTAGATGAGGGGGGGGGGGGGGGGGGGGCAGAACTTGGGATCAGGACTGGGATATTGGGAGTGAGAGACCACTCGAAGAGTCTCAAACCTTTCCTTTCGTGACTTTCTGTATTCCTTCACTAAATTTTCATTAATAAACTACTACTTTCTTCTTGGATTCTTCCGTTACTTATCATTGGTATCAGAGCCTATGATCGCTGCACCTTTGTATGGTCTTCACTCCATCGAACATGGAGCAGCGGATAAATAATTTGGAGATATCGCTGGAGCGATCTATGGCCGATATGCGGGCTGAGATGAAAGCTTTGATGGACGAAAAAGTACAGTTGTTGCTAGAGAAGATGCAAAGTCTCGAAGTCCAGGGCAGTCACAAGAGAAGAAGAGGACGCTCGACCACCAATCGTCGACGCCAGACTTCTGCCAGCGTGAGTTCGTCCAATTCCGGAGGTAACCCTCATGATTCTCAATCCCTTTCTCGTGCTCCTGAGCATACAAGAATTAATGACCGGGTTTATACCGGAAGAAAGGTGGATATACCTCTGTTTGGTGGAGAGGATGCATATGGATGGCTTATCAGGGTTGAACGCTATTTCAAACTCAACCATGTGTCAGAAGAGGATAAAGTAGAAATAATCTTGATAGCCATGGCCGGAAAAGCTCTGAATTGGTACCAATGGTGGGATGAACAGACCGATGACCATGCCTGGGGTAATTTTAAGGAAGCTTTGATCAGACGCTTCCAGCCGGATTTAGTTCAGAACCCGTTTGGTCCGATGCTCAAAAGTAAGCAAACTAATTCAGTAATGGAGTACAGGGATCATTTCGAAATGGTTGTAGCTCCCCTCAAAATTGCTGACCCAGAGATGTTAAAAGGAGTATTTCTCAATGGCCTCAAAGAAGAAATTAGCACAGAGCTGAAGTTGTACCAGACCAGTGGGTTAATTGATCTCATGGACAACGCTCTGCTTGTTGAACGGAAAAACATGACATCAAAAGAAGAACAAAATAAAGAAGAAGACAAAAAAGGCGGGAAGGAACAGGGAGGGAAAATGGTTAGACCCTGGAACTGTTTGGAAGCAACAAAGGGAAGAACACCTGATGTGACTCCGGAGAGAACACATTCAGAGAACAAACTGGAGGAATCACCAAAACCGAATAAGACATGGGAGGGAGGCCAAAGGTTGACACAATTAGAGTTAGAGGAAAGAAGTAAAAAGGGCTTATGTTTCAAATGTGGAAACAAATGGAGCAAAGAACATGTTTGTGGAATGAAACATTATCAATTTATCTTGATGGAAGAGCCAGAAGAAGTGCAGGGAACAGAAGATCAGCTAGATGAACGGGATGAAGCTGCAAACCTGCTGAAAGCAAATGCCAAATCAGTCTCTTATCATCCACCTTGAGGACAAGGTGGAAGTTCGAGGGGGGAGTGATGTTAGGGACCTGAACACTACCAATAATTAGAGCCTTATTAAGTCATTTTAATTTTGTTCAATAATAGGGTTTAGGCCCTATAACTTATTAGAAGTGGGCTGGCCCATTAGAAATAGAATAAATAAGGGTGAGTGGTGAGTAGATGAGGGGGCAGAACTTGGGATCAGGACTGGGATATTGGGAGTGAGAGACCACTCGAAGAGTCTCAAACCTTTCCTTTCGTGACTTTCTGTATTCCTTCACTAAATTTTCATTAATAAACTACTACTTTCTTCTTGGATTCTTCCGTTACTTATCAAAATTTGAGTTTGTGTATGAGTTCCCCTTCACTCTTTTTTTGCCTCATCTCGTTTCGGGAGGAAATATGGACACACTCTGAGATTTATAAATATAACTAAATATCCTTCAACTCTCCAAGGCCCTATAAGAGAACACACACACACCATTTGAAAGTCCGACTGGTTAAAAACAGTAGTACTTTGATAATCCAGTCAATAGCTAGTTAATGTTAGGAATTTAAGGCTTTTAGCATGCCTCTAAGGCTATGAGATTTCATCAAGTGGTTAACTTATTAACTTATCTAATTCTAGTATATGGCTAGAATATACATTGACTCTGTCATGTTGTTTTCAGGTTAAAAACTATCTACAAGAAATAGCTCCTAATCTATCTGATAGAGTTGAGTTATACAGCAATAAAGCTCCACTCTTTGACGAATACAAGATTGAGGGAGAAATAGATAGCATTCTTAGCAAAAGGTGAGAGATGTGCCCACACATATGTTATCATGTTGTACCTATCTACATATACATGCTAGTGTGACATTTAGAATTGTCGCCATAAGAGCTATCTATGTGTTATTGGAATTACACTCTCATTATAAAGCTCCACTTAGTTAATACTTAATACTCCATCTTTCTAAAGTTATTAGGGAAAATGGAAACTAATGATCCAACCTTTTAGCGGTCTTTTTACAATAGTTCCATCTTTTGATTATTCAGGAATAATCCAACCATTGCACCCCATTTTCATTCAATGGACCCTGATCGGTTGATGGCCGGCTATTCCAAGTTATTTTCTTATCTTTGCAACATTTTATACCATAAATTTCACCTTATGGTCACATAATGTTTTGCAAAGATAAGAAAATAATTTGGAATAGCAGGTCATCAACCGGTCAGGGACCATTGAACGAAGATGAGGTGCAAAGGTTGAATTATTCCTGAATAATCAAAAGGTGGGACTATTGTAAGAAGACCGCTAAAAGGTTGGATTATTAGTTTCCATTTTCCCAAGTTATTAAGGATCTTTCAAATTGTGAGGTCTGAGGTTTGACTGAATTTAATCATTATTCAATTTTCAGCACGAATTAATATTTAATCTAGCACTAGTAATTAATTTTACATATTTCAAATTTCACTAAAAAGTTCTACTCCCTCCATCCCGCTAAGATTGTCCATTTTTCCTTTTCGGGAAATCGCACTAAGATTGTCTCATACCAAATTTGGTAAAGTTTGTGTGACTTTAAATCATTCTTAGTTTATTCTTACTTAATCAATTTAATATCAACCACATAAACCCACTTTTCTTAATAACCGTGCCACCTCATGTCCCATTGTTAATGGGCCGGAGGTAGTATGAAACTGCAAAAATCGAGGTTCAATATGATAAAAAACTGTTATAAATAGAAATACTATAATAACTCAACATTATGTTGCTGATTCAAGCGAAGTAGAGATTGTTAAAATTGGCCTTACTTTAATATTCTTTAGTTAAATATCTGTAAGAAGTATTATATGCATTTCACTGTCTGAACTAAAAGGTCACAGTGATTTCCCAGACAAGTTTTTCCAAGTGACTTGTTTGGCAACTTGGCATATTAGCAAATACTACGTATATGTTAGAGCCCCTAATTGTAATAATAAGTTTTGCAGGGTTTCCCTTTCCAATGGAGGTTATCTGGTGATAGAACAAACAGAGGCATTATTCTCTATTGATGTCAATGGTGGTCATTCTATGCTTAGGCACGGAACATCACAAGAGAAAGCTATTCTTGAAGTGAACCTTGCAGCTGCCAGACAGGTATGAAAATGAGTTAAAATCCATCATATATTGCAACTCTGATTTGAGAACGAATTAATACAGTAATACTTAAGTGATTCATGAATCTCCAGATTGCTAGAGAATTGAGACTGAGAGATATTGGTGGTCTTATTGTTGTGGATTTCATAGATATGATGGATGACTGTAAGTATATTACTCTGAATTAGTGTAGCTATTTAAGCTGTCATGTGCACCCCTGAGAGGGGTGGAATGGATCATAGCCTCATATGTTTCTCTTTTCTACTTTTAGAGGGGTTCCTCTGTCTAATTTTTCATTTCTTAAAAAGTAAATACGTAGTATATTATAGCTATTCCCCTAGTTCCAGGAAAAAAAGAATCATTGTTTGGTCATGGTACAAATTTTAATTTGGGCAAAGTATGAGTCATATGACCATAAAAGTCATGAACTTCCATTATTATTTTGTTTCTTTGATTAAATTTATCTTATTTTACTCGCTAACCTTTTTTGCCAAACTAAGTAAAACTTTGCTTCGTCTGATGAAATTGTACTTTTTTTGGACAAGAAACTTTTGATTCAAGACTTTATTTTGGGTGGTAGGGAAGTAGGTGGAGGTATATGAGTCTTTATACTGTAAATGACTATGTGTTCTTTTAACTCTTCATTTGTTTTAGCAAATAAGAGATTGGTCTATGAAGAAATAAAGAAGGCTGTTGGGAGAGATAGATCAACTGTCAGTCTCTCTGAGTTATCCAGGCATGGACTTATGGAAATCACTAGGAAAAGAGTATGTGATTTTTGGATTGTTCTATCCAACATTTTAATTTCCAAACTTATCCCAGCAAAGTTTTACCCGTCACACTTTGTGACGTGTTTACCCTTATACAAAAAACCAGACATGCTAATGTCACATCATGTCTATTGCTTTTACAGGTTCGACCAAGTGTGACATTTATGATCAGCCAGCAATGCACATGTTGTTATGGCACTGGGAGGGTGGAAGCTTTAGAGACTGCCTTTTCCAAGATTGAACGGGAAATTTCTCGTTTGATGGTAATTTTTTGTTTAATACTGTAAAAATTCAGTTAAATTGGGTCTAAGTGTCTAACTCTTCCCAAAAGGAACCTGAAGGGATAATATTTATCTTAAACTCATATTAGAATCAAATCCATTAGACCGTTGACGTGGGATATTCAACATATCTCCCTCAGTCCAATGCGTAGTAGACAATTGAAGGGATGCACAAATGGACCCAAGCCGACCCTCAAAACATCAGTGGACAGGTAGCCCACAAGGCCACAATCTGCGATGGGAACATTTTATAGTACTGTATATACTACTATACTACACTGAAACCCAGTAGATAATATGAGATGCCCAACAAATTACATTTATAAATTATAACCTGTTATAACCGAAAATGTCCTTGATTTTCTTCATTTAGTTCTGAAGCACTAATGTTTCTCTAGAGCTTTGATGGTTAAGGATGTTTTTACTTGGACTGTTTTCAGTCCCAGACCAGACTTAAACGGACCAGACCAAACCAAACTTAAACAGACCACACCAGACTTAAATAGACCAGACCAAACCAGACTTGACTTTCGTAGTTATAAAATACAGAAAAACCAAACGTTTAAGAGACCAGTTCAGACCAGACTTAAACAAACCAGACTAGACCAGCAAATTACAGTCCAAGTAAAGACATCCTAAGAACTCAAGCCCATGCATTTTTTTCTATTTTACCATGGAGGTTATCATGCCTGTCCCTAGCCATGATATCATTTTTTTGGTATCATGCCTGTCCCAAGCCAGGATAAAGGAGGAGGGTGCTGTGGTAGGCGTGTGACGGCCAACAGTATCACCTAGTCACATCACATGACATGAATCGAAATATGAAAATCCCTCATCTTTTTTTTTCCTAGTTTTTTTTATCCTTATATATATATGCATTATTTGCAGCCTTTTTATTTTATCATTTATATATATATTCATCTTTTTTATATTATCTTTTCATAATAGCTTATCTTTTTATCTTTATTCCTTCTTTTCCTTTTGGTTGTGATATCATGTATCGATTCATGTTAGCCGACCCCAATATCTTTTGGGACTAAGGCTTGGATGTTGTTGTACCATGGAGGTTATCATGTTATGCAAAATTCTCTATTTGCCTAACTTCTATTCTTCCCATTCAACTTCTTTTTGTGACATCTTAATCAGTCTAGGATGGATGAGAAAGCTGATCCTGAAGATCCCAATTCATGGCCCAGATTTATTCTCATGGTTGATCAATACATGTGTAACTATTTAACTGAAGGAAAAAAGACAAAGTTAGCAGTATTGAGTACCTCTCTCAAAGTCTGGATTGTAATAAAGGTATGTGGAGAACTTTACATTTTAGGACCCTAACTTCATTAATTGTCCTTTGTTAGTGAACCATTTACAGCTTTACGATAACACTCCTTGTGTCCCATTCTTTGTAACCTATCTGTGCATAGATAAGGCTGTAGCTACTTATGTGCGTGTGCATATTTATAAGACTGTAGCTACTTCTGTACGTGTGTATATTTATTAGACTGTACTAACTGCAGCTACCTAGATGTGTGTGTGTTCATATTTATATACATAAATGATAAATATATACTTTCTGTATTCTTATTTAGTTGCAAAAGTTTGACTTCCACGTTTGACAACATATTATTTTGAGTCTTTTGACTACTAATATACTAGTACCTCTGTTCCATTTTATCAGTCCTACTTTCCTTTTTGGGTTGTCCCAAAATCAGTGTCACATTTCCTTTTTAGGAAAGAAATATGTGGTCTACAACATTTCACTTTATTATACTCAAATCAAGTCTCAACCACAACTTTCACTTTTTCAACCACTTTATTAATAATTGTGCCAAACCAAAGTAGGACACATAAAATGGGATGGGCGTAGTAACTATTAGTAAAATTTATAAATTCATATTATGAAATTTAACATTGAGAGAAATTAACAATATTTTTCGTAATATGAGTTTTTTAATACATTAGTAAATAAATAAAATGTCGTAAAAGTAGAGTATGTCAATGGTGGAAGTTAAACTGTTGAAACTAATATAGACAAGAAGTACTGAAGTAGTATATACGCAAACCACCAAAATGGGTAGGCGGTGCGGAACACCTACCATTATTTTATTAACAATAAGAGTAAAACAAGTGGCATAAACCTTTTCCCGTATCATGCATGATACCTTAAGGCGTGCCTCAAGATTTTCAAGGATTTTAAGATGCAAAGCGTAACTAGTTTCACACAACACAAACACATGCGCCTTTTATGTGCAAGGCGCACGCCATAAGGCGTACGATTTGAATGTCTCAGTTTAATAATAACACCATGAGGCGCAGCAAGGCTTAAGCAATTGGAGTTTTAGTAAATATTACGTGAATGTCTCAGTTTAATAATAACTCGGGCCAGTTTTAATTTATACGTAATTATTATTTCAAATATCACACCCTGCTGCGTATACCTGATCGGCTCTCTCTTCTCTTCGTCGCCAGTCAGCCTCTACTACTCCTGTTCGCACTTCACACCTGGTCGTCTGCAACTTTGCAAGTTTTTTTCCATCACTTCTCCTCTTACTTCTGCCCTTCTCCACTTCTGCTCCCTCCGTCCCATAAAACTTGACCAAATTTCCTTTTTTGGCAGTCCCAAAAAACTTTTCCATTTCCATTTAAAGTAAGGAATATGTGGCTAAAGTTATTTCTTTCTGCACAAATTTCAACCACACAGTTTTTACTTTATTAATCTACGTGCAAGTCAACTTTGGCTAAGTTTATTAATCTACATGCAAGTCAACTTCTCCGCCTCTCTTATTTCTCTCCATCTCCGCCTCTCTTAGTTCATGGTATGCTCATTTTTAAATTTTTACAATAATATTATATTTGATATTATTAATTTATTGTTGGGTAAGCCTCGTATGGTACTGTTAGTTTGTTATACATTTATTTATATGAAGATATGTTCTTGGTTGGGTGATAATTAGTTAGGTGCAATATTATTTTCCCCCATGTTAATGTGTACAATATGAGTTATGCCATCAATCTATTAAACTTAGAATTTCAGAATAAAAACTTCTGTCATCTTATGTGTAAAGTCACGATTTCCATCACTCATTACATTATTGTTGGGTTTCATATCCTGCACTACTACTACCAGGTTAGTCTTTTAGGACGGAACCTCATATCTTAACAAGTTGTATTGAGAAATGTTCAAACTTTTAATGTTTTAACAAATCAAGCCCAAACATAAAATTTTGCCAATATGCCCTGGTTTTAGTTGAAGTAGTTCACGTAAAATAACCACCTTAAGAAATAGTTCAGCATCAGGTCTTGTCCTTAACTCCTTTGTTAACATTTTTAAAAAATGAGTGAAAAATCCATTGCTGACTCGTTCTTTTTCAAGTTTTTTTTTGAGTTGTGAGCTTGGTTAATGTATAATTGGCTATGATGGACTTCACATATAGAGATGTACCTTATCAATTGTTTTTATGACTAATAACTGATTAACAAGTCAATAATCTCTAGTAAACTGTGCCCCCAGGTAGCTAGAGGTTTCACAAGGGGCACCTTTGAGTTGAAGCCCTTTACAGATGCTGATAAAGAGTGCAATAAGAGTCGCCCTCCCATACCAGTACTATCTGCAGAGGTGGCTAGGAGTCTGCCTCAGAAAAAGTTGAATCTCTTCCCCATCAAGAAGTGGAAGGCTGGTGGAGGAGGATGACAGTTGCATCATCTTCTCTCCACCCTAAGCAGGTTTGTGTTATTTTCTGCTCACACTCATGCTCTGCATCAACTTGGTTCACTAGAGCCATAACAAAAGGTATAGCAAGTCTTCTTGTTGGCTGCCAAATTACGTCCATTTGGTGTCAGAAAAATAAGTTGCTGTGGCAAAAAGTTTTTGATTAACTTCTGTTAGGAGTTTTATCAATTTAGGGTTTCAAGATAACGTGTATTAACCATCCATCAAGGACTTTGAAGTTGGAAGATGAAAACTATGGATGTATAACCTAAATGATTGGAAGTATCAGTCTTAAGACTAATCACTAATTTTACATCAACCTGCTTTTGATAATTTCTCGTACTAATTTGCAATAAAATCGATGTTTCTATTTACTCGTATAAGAAAAATGTTATTCTGTGGAGAATAAATCTGACATCATTAAGCGGCAGCCTTATGTAACACACATTAATCCATATTACTAAGTTTTCACCACTCATGGAATGGGTGACATTTGAGAATGTGTAATTTGGTTTCCTGCCAATAATATTTGATAAAATAATGTCATTGCACATAAATAAAAAGAAAAAAGGTGTAAACAAGCACATAGTGTTTAAGCACACATGGAGATTGGCCTTTAACGGGGCTTTAGGTACAAATATATCCCTATTGTAGTATTGTTCCACTAAAGGTGCATATTGGCCCTTATTGCTTTGAAGTCTTAAAAGGCTAAATAGATACTTGTAAATTACAAATTACTCTTTATTAGGGTAATTGAGTATGTAAATAACAAAATATTTAATTGCTAGACATGTATTTTATATTTGTTATACGTATATCCTAAATTTTCTTTAAATTGTTCTTTTTAATATTAATATATACTCCCTCCGTCCCAATTTGTAAGATACTTTACGGTTTACGATGTTTGACCGACGATAAAGCAAATTGATCCCTGTCAACACTCAAATTGGTTTTAGAAAATAAAATTTACATATTCTGAAATTACAATAAAACCGCTACAAAAGCTGCAAAAAATAATTCAAATTTCATAAACTTTTGATATACAAAGTAAAAGATTAAGAGTGGTTTGTGTTGACCAAGTGAATAGTAAATGTATCTTACAATTTGGGACTGAGGGAGTACATGATATTGCAATATATGTTTCCATATGGGACATGTGTTGATAAAAATGTGCACAGATTTAAATTACTATGTTTAGTCATCCTTAGTTACTAAAAAATTGATTAGTTTATTGATTTTAAAAGTAAGAAATAGATACAATAAAAAGCATATTTATTTTACGTTGCAATGCATATTTTTAAAAATTGCAACTCGTGAAATCCAAAGTTTGTTAAATAGTTTAATTATTTTCCATATTGAAACATATACCAATATAAGAAAATATTTGTGTTGAAAATACTCCGTACAAAATAGGTGCAATACTTCGGTGATTTTTTGTTGTTGTTGAGTACATTACTCAAATTATTAAATTATTAATTCTTAGTGAAACAATAAAGGCCAATAAAGGCCAATATTTACCAAGAGAAAAACAATTGTTAAAAGTTTTTTTTGCACCTCTTTTTCTGAGGAAGAAAACAGTCGTTATCCACCAAGTTAAAAGGACTTGTGGAAACACTTTCAACACATAGGAACTTGGGAAAACATTTTCTGGGACCAAACAGTACCGTATTGTCAGCACCCTTTGTCTGGTTATAGTGTGTACTTTGAGAAAGCCTTGGCAAGATTTATGTGACAATGATTTAATATTTTTGGGTGCAGAGTCCTAAAGCAAAACAAGCACACACAGTCGCAAAGTGTGAGGTATTGTGTGCTAATAGATTCCAACATCACAGGCAACTTTCAAGAGTGTACTAGGACATAGGTTCCGACCAGAAACAAACACATTTCAGTTAGAACCTCAAACTCTACACATCATGTGGGTACGAAGAGGAATTTATATTTACTCTTCCGGCAAATGAAAGAAAGTTTGATATCATTTTAGGATCAATTGACAGAATGAACCATGAAAGCATGCATGGACTTCGCTTCAATGACCTGGCCTGTCGGTAGTGGTTTCACAATATATATGTTGCTTGGAACACTTCAAAAGTCATACTAGTTCCTGCATAGTGCATGCTCTATTACATAATGGAAACTCTCCTTCTAGAATCACTCCTGCGCAGAATTAATGTGTCTTCCAATTTATAATTGCTAATGATTGTTTTTTGATTTGCTAGACTTGCATAAGAAGCTAATAACCAGCTATCAGTATTTTATCAGCAAGGAGTTCATGCAATCAAGTCAACTGATCTTTGAACCATTGATGTACCCAGTTAAGTGTAATCTGTTGAGCTTGAACAGGCATTTGCATGTTTATTTATTAAACATGGTCGCCAACATCTCACAGTTGTCTATTCTACTATTGATGTCAATGATTTTTTTTGTTCTTGGATTTTGTATACCCAACATTTGTCATGCTTGAATTTGGTTTTTGAGGTGGAATAATGTAATTATGTGGATTGTAATAATTGATAGTAATGTAAATATGAGGGTAGTGTTTAATTAAATTGCAGGTTGTTATACTTAAATTTACAATATTGAGTTTTTTTTATGTTGGGAAATATGGAGATTCAAACTTCAACAACATCCAAGTCTTAACTCAAAAGATTTTAGGTTCGGCTAACATGAATTGATCCATGATATTGATGCCAAAAAAGAATGTGAATGTTATATTGAAACAACAAAATATTGGCTCATGTCAGCCTGATTCAAAATAGTTTAGTCCAATCCTAAAAAATCATTTTAAGGAAACAAGACTTTTGTTGGCCTCAATTTCATCTATGGATGGACCCGGGCCAGTTCCGGTTCCGGGCCGGGCCCGGCCGGGCTTTTTTTGCAATTCCTTGGGGCCGGAACCGGCCCGGGTTGCTACCGGGTCCGGGCCTAACCGGGCCGGGCCGGGCCCGGTTCAATACTTATTTTTTTTTTGCTTTCTTGTTATCCCCCGACCCCCCCCCCCCCCCCTCACTCCCACCCCCCAAACCTCCCCAAAACACCCAGCCCAATCCTAGGAAAAGAAAAAAAATGAAAAAAAAAAATTGACCCGGGCCTGGCCCGAACCGGCCGGGCCGGTTCGCCCAAAACTGGGCCCGAGCCCGGCTCGCCCGACCCGCCCACACGGGCTAAAAGCCCGGAACCGGCCAACCGGGCCCGGCCCGGTCCGGGCCCGCACAGTAGCGGGCCGGTCCGGTTCCGGGCCGGTTCGGCCCGGTCCAGTTCGGCCCGGTCCAATCCATCCCTAATTTCATCCAAGACTCCAAGTATTTCATTTTTACTTCTATTTTATTTAATGCATGCATAATAAATGAATTCTGGTTAGCAATCTTAAGATGTAATTTTTCTTCAAGTATAGTTTCTGACTTTCTGTAAGCTGAGCCTTGAGTACGTTTTGAAAATGGAAGTTATTATTGGTGTATTAATATAGTAAGTGATTTTAGTGAGGTATAAGTGTATGTTGTGTAGAATAGAGGAGATGCTTTAGAGTAAAAACTGTAGAATAGAGGAGATGCTTTAGAGTAAAACACTCGTGTCTAGAAAACATAGATTGTACTACCCTGTTCTGGTGGACTTTGACAAGTGCAAAGTAGGTAAGAAATAAGAATAGTAAAAACTGTGTGGTTGAGATTTGTGCAGAGGAGATAGAAATGTGCAGAATCACAAAATAGCTGCTTTAATAGGTAGGGTTAAACTCGGGTCGGGCCAACCGGCCCGGAACCGGACCGACCCGCTACTGTGTGGGCCCGGACCGGCCCGGTGAACCGGTTGGTTGGCCGGTTCGGGCCACCCGGCCCGGTGGGATGGCGGTTCGGGCCCTTCAAAAGGTGAACCGGCCCGGGCCATTTTTTTTTGATTTTTTTTAAGTTTTTGGGTTGGGCTGAGTATTTTGGGCCATTTGAAGTGGTTAGGGTTGGTTTGGGGGTGAGGGGGAGGGTTGGGGGTTAACTAGGAAAAGCCAACAAAAAAAACAAAGAACCGAGGCCCGGCCCGGCCCGGACCCGGGGGTCACCCGGGCCGGTTCCGGGCCTCCCATACCTTGAACCGAGGCCCGGCCGGTTCAAGGCCCGAACCGGGCCCGGCCCGAACCGAGTCCATCCCTATTAATAGGAAAGTGTAAAAGTTTTTTGGAACAATAAAAAAAGAAAAGTTGGTAAAGTCCAATGAGAAGGAGAGAGTATTGAATATGTTTGGTGAACAAATGAGTGCAAAGGTCATATTTATAGGTGCGAGAGGGTCTAGATCCTTACTAAATGCTGGAAATCTAGAGTAATCTATAAATATCTCTAGTTATTTTACACTACTACTACAACAACAACATCTAAGCCTTAGTCCCAAAAGATATTGAGGTCGGCTAACATGAATCCATACATGATATCACCACCAAAAGTAAAACTGTAAAAGAAAGGAAATAAAGATAAAAAGATAAGCTATTATAAAAAGATAATATAAAAAGAGATGAATATACATAAAAATGATAAAATAAAAAGGATACAAATAATGCTTATATATATAAGGATAAAAAACAAGGAAAAAAGATGAGGGAAAAAGATGATACGAGATCACTCCACCACACGAATATCCGCCCTCCACTTAGCTCTCTCCAAAGTCATGCCCTTATCCAACCCCAGAAGAAGCATATCACTTCGAACTCCCCTAGGCCCTAACCCACGTCTTTTTGGGTCTTCCTCTCCCTCTCTTCTCTGTCTTTTCTCCACACATCTCAACTCGTCTAACAAGTGCATCACTCGGTCTTCTACGCACATGACCAAACCACCGTAGGTGCGACTCCCGCATCTTGTCTTCAATAGGTGATACTCCCACCCTTTGTCTGATTGTCTCATTCCTCACGCGGTCCTTCCTAGTGTGCCCACACATCCAACGCATCATGCGCATCTCTGCCACACTCATATTTTGAATGTGACACTGTTTCACCGCCCAACACTCTACGCCATACAGTAATGCAGGCCCTAATTGCAATCCTATAAAATTTACCCTTCAGTCTAGTCGGCATACCTCGATTGCATAGAAATCCTGACGCACTCTTCCACTTCATCCACCCTGTCCTGATTCTATGAGATACATCTCCATCTAACTCATTGTCCTTCTGAATTATGGAGCCCAAGTAACAGAACATATCACTGACTGGTATCTTCTTACCATCCAGAGTAATTCCGCTATTTCCATTGCTTCTACCTCCACCAAACTTGCACTCCATGTACTCTGTCTTGCTCCGACTTAGTTTGAAACCCTTACTCCAATGTTTGTCGCCATACTTCCAACTTTGCTTTAAGACCTGATTGCGTCTCATCAACCAATACAATATCGTCGGCAAACATCATGCACCACGGTATATCGTCTTGAATTGACTTCGTAAGTTTATCCGTGACTATGGCAAATAAGAAAGGGCTCAGAGTCGATCCTTGGTGCACTCCGATAGTAATAGGGAACTCTTCAGTCCTTGCTACACTAGTACGGACACTTGTAGTACAATCCTCATACATATCCATGATGATGCTGATATACTTGCGTGATATGTCTTTCCTAGTTAAGGCCCACCAAACCATTGCTTTCTTCCGCCCCATCTCCCTCAGAGCCTCTTTAACTTCCGTTGTTTGGTTCCTTCTCACAAAATCACGATTTGCCATACAATCTGGTATGGTCAAATCATCGATATCTTGCGCTTTGTTCCTGTTGAATAGTGTATCAAAGTATGACCTCCACCTCTCTTTTATCTCTCCGTCCTCCATTAATATCCTTTGATTGACATCCTTCACACACTTAACTTTTGTGATATCTTGAGTCCTGCGATCACGAAGACGAGCAAGTCTGTAAATATATTGTTCTCCTTCCTTAGAGTCCAACTTTTCATACAACTCCTTGTTCACTTTCCCTCGTGCTTCCTTTATGGCTTTCTTTGCTTGTCTTTTAGCCTCCTTGTATGCTTCTATGTTCTCATCACTCCAACTTGTCTCCAACTTTTTGTAGCAATCTCTTTTGTTCTTTATGGCTTATTTCATCTCATCATTCCACCAAGACGTGTCCTTTTTAGGTGGCAGACATCCTTTAGATTCTCCAAGTACCACTTTTGCCACTTTGTTAATGGTCAACTCCATTGATAACCACACATCATCTACATGTGTTTCATTATCGATACGCCATACATCTTCACCGACCATTTTGTGTGTAAAACTTTGTTGAAAATCTCCCTCAAGCCTCCACCACTTTATGTTTGGCTCCACTTGTTATTTAACTTGTCTTCTATGGTTCTTACCTCGAAAGTCAAGCACAAGCATCCTATCCTGAGTGACAACACTCTCACCTGGAATAACCTTACAATCAGTGTAGCTAGTTCTCCAAGTGGTTCGTACTAAGAAGTATTCAATTTGGGTACTATTAGCTCCACTTTTATAGGTTACAAGGTGAGAGTCTCTTTTCTTAAACCAAGTGTTCATTATAGCCAACTCATACGTCAAGGCAAAATCCAAAATGTTCTTTCCCGCCTCATTCCTAGTGCCAAAACCATGTCCTCCATGAATACTCTCAAAGCCATCACGACTCGAGCCCACATGCCCTTTGAGGTCACCTCCTATGATCAACTTCTCTCCCCTTGACACTCGTCGCACCACGTCTTCAAGATCTTCCCAGAACTGTTGAGTTCTAGATGCATCCAATCCCACTTGTGGTGCATAGGCACTTACCACAGACACAATCTCACCCCTTCTCACCAATTTAACGCTCATGATGCGATTGTTCTTCCTGAAGACTTCTACCACATCTCAACATAGTCACGCGTCACAATAATGCCTACCCCATTTCTGGTCTTATCTCTCCCCGAATACCACAACTTAAAACCTCCGGGATTAATCTCGCGTGCTTTCTCTCCAACCCATTTAGTTTCTTGCACACACATAATGCTGATATTCCTTCTCCTCATAACCTCGACTACCTCGGAAGATCTGCCTGTAAGAGACCCAATATTCCATGTCCCAAAACGCAATCTAGCACTCCACCTTCTGTTCTTAGCCCCATCTCGAACCCACCTGCCCTTTCATATTTGACATCATCCCCGGGCAATGGGATGACACGCCGCTTCTGGGCGGCGACCTAGCAACCTTAGAATTCTTATCACCACACCTAGGTCTATGAAGTGTAGCGCGCCCTTGCATATTTGACACCACCCCCAGACAGAGGGATGACACGTCACTTACGGGTGACGACCTAACATTAGTGATATTCATATTTCGATTCATGTCATGTGATGTGACTAGGTGATACTGTTGGCCGTCACACGCCTACCACAACACCCTCCTCCTTTATCCTGGATTGGGATAGGCATGATACCAAAAAATGATATCATGGCGGAGTTTCTAGTTATTTTACACTATACAAATAAATTCTCTAGTGGAGAATTCTCTAGAATATTTTTAGCTTTAATTTTCTAGAATAACTCTAACTTTTTCTACATAGAATATTCTACATAAATGCATCATATTTTAATACTTCTCCTTGATGTATTTGTCAGTAACTCAAGCATTCTTTATAGAAATTGGAATTTATCTCTTGGTTGGTCATTTGTGAAAAATATCTGCCAAACATTTGTCAGTAACTCCAAGCATGTGAAAAAAAATCTGTCAATTGTTCCATTGGGTTGTACTTCATCTCAATATGATCTTTTACTTGGGCATCTCTCAAGAAGTGATACTTGATGTCGTTGTGCTTAGTATGATCGTGTTGAACTGAACTTTTAGCCATCACAATAGTTGACTTGTCATCTCAAAATATCTATGCTGCAAAGTTTTGCAATTCGCTCATATCTTCTACTACTTCCATCCCGCTTAAAGGTTCTCATTGTAAAATGACATAATTATTTAGATAATAATTAAATAAGTTTATTTGAATATATTTTGAGAAATAGTTTTGATGAATATATAATATAATAGGATCATTAATGATAACTATAATGTTATAGATGTATTGTTTTAAATATTTGATGATTAAATTTCATTTAATAATGTTAACAGTTTCCTAAAATAGAAATAAGAATCTTTATACGAGACGTCCAATAAAGTAAAATGAGAACATTAGAATGGGACAAAGGGAGTAACATTCTTTTTAATCATATAGCTTGGCACGGTACTACGACTGCTGCAACATACTTAGGTTCTACAGATAACTATGAAACTGAATCTTGCTTCTTTGATCCTCATGAGAAAATTCTTAAACTAAGCTTAAATCTGTAACCGGAGGTGCATTTCATGTCATCTTCATAATCGAGCCAATCATTGTCGTTATATCCAACTATTCGTGAGTCACAATTTCTTTTGTACCAAATGCCATGATTGACTGTCCCTTATAGATACTTAAGGAGTCTCTTTGTTGCTCCATATTTAGTGAGACTTTGTTCGACTTTTCATGGTCCTCGAGAACAAAGTTGTAGCATACATGCATGATTTTTGGCCTCGAGCCATTAAGTAAAGTAGACTCTCAATCATGCTTCGATAATTGGTCGCATATGTTTTCTTTCACCTGTCTAATTTCTTTAATTTTTCATTTGGAATCAATGGAGTAACAACGAGTTTTCATTCTTGGATTTAGAACTTGTGTAGCATGCCTTTAATATATTTCCTTGAGATAAGAAGATCTCACTTTCCCCTAGAGGAAGTAGTGCATTGATTCCAAGGCACTCATTTTAAAAGTGTTCATCATGTCTCTATTTCTTCAATTCCTCAATTAGTTTTGAGCTATAACGCACGGAAACGTCAGGAGGGTTGAGTTTCCCCGTACTGGAAACATACGCACGTTTCCGAACGTGAGAAACGTCAGATTCGCGTGTCGGGGTCGAGTTTTAATTTTGGGGAAGTTGGAAACGTGTTTCTCCCAAAAAACAGAGTTTGAGAAATTTAGTTTGGGACCCTTTTATGTTCGCAGCGCACGATCTGGATCGGAATCCCAAACAAATAAAATCTCGGAGTTTAGTAGGATTAATTGATTAAACATCTCGTCTTCGTCGGCTTCAACATCTTGGTGAGCTAATCGCCGTCTTCAGCAATTTACGGTCACTCCAAGACGCTTAAATCGTTCTCCTCCTTCTACAAACCGGTCTGCCGCTTTACCTTTGCTCTTCTCCGCTTCTCGCTTCTCATAGCCCTATATTTAATTGTGAATGTATGTCTGATAGTGGATAAGTTGGCGTAGAAGTGATGATGACAGATGATGTGTATTCCACTAGTTATTGTGTATGATACTTGGCAGTTTTACTCGGTCCAAAAGGTTGAATGCCCAACCCCAAGCCCCCCCCACCTCGACTCGACAGGACGGTGAGGAGGTTAATCACGATGACTCAGTCAGCAAAGCGGCGGTAGGCCTTATACACGTGCGCACCAGAGGTCCAGCCTTATTTCAGGTTCTGTAACCTCCACACGGTCGCTGCGGGTTTCGAACCTTGGTCACTTGGTCCAATTTTCCCACAACTCGACCAACTGAGCTACCCGTGCATGTAATTGGCAGTTTTACAGTTTTACTTTACTTTGCATTATTTAGGTGTATTAAAGTAGGAGTATTATATATTATGGGATCTGTAAAAAAATATATATTTATGGGCATTGTTTAGTTATTAATGTGCTCATTGTTTATATTTTGTTAATCATTAAATCATCTTTTGTTGTGTCGTTCTATAATATAGTTTTTTTATTTTTCTAGTGGCATGTTTGTATATATGTGTATAGATAAGAGATCAAATACATATCATGCTTAAAATACTAACCTACAAACTCAATAATATGCATCACTTTGAACTTTGATGTGCAGTAAAAATAATGTAAAGATGCAGGGTGGGATCACATACAAACTAGTCCTCCAATTCAAATCATCTTTACATTATTTGTATTGCACATTGAAGTTCAAAATTAAACAGCAGACTAAATAATAAGTAAACATTTGTTAATTAAATAGAAAATACAGAGTATAATTAAACATTTGTTAATTAATTAATTCAATTTAAGAAGCTTCTGCAAAAATTTTCCTGCTTTGAGAGCAAAGGGTTTGTGCGAGGTTATTCATAGCATCTTCATCATCATCTAATTCATCAACAAATCATGCCAGTAGTTCCATAGATGTTAATCGATGCTCCAGTCCCATGTTGCTCTATGATTTGCGAATCGATGTTCGTTTCACCATAGGCTGAAGATCCATGTAATGATGCTCTATTTTTATTTTTCTCTGATGCTCTGAATCGATGTTCGTTTCATGCTAAAGTGATACCGTTTTGGGATCGGCACACCGTGCGCACGGTGAGCCGATCTCACGGTATAATTTGCGAATAATCAGCCAACGGTTGCGGAGATATTTCCTAATTTTTTGAGTTGGCTACACCGGTTGGAGATACTTTTCCTTAGAAAGTATGGTTGATGGCATTTTTCTAGTTTTTATTTTAAAAAATATGGCTAACTCCGGGCATTTTTCTATATACTCGTATATTTTTTTTAGAAAAATTGGCCTGTTGAGAGTAGCAGCAACCAAGGTAGACTTGGACTCGGGCCGGACCTAGACCCAGTCGAGCCGGGCCTAGGCCCGGTTGGGCCGGCGGTTCTGAATAGCTAGACCCGGGACCGGCCCGGGTAGCCACCGGGTCCGGTTCGGGCCAGGCGGGGCCTCGGGTTTGGTTAATTTTTTTTGCTTACCTATCCATCCCTGACCCCTCCTCACCCCACCCCCCCAAATCCCCCAAACCCGTCCTAAACATCAAGCCAAACCCGGGTGGAGCCCAAACAAATGAAAAAAACAAAAAAAAATCAATTTGGCTCGAATCGGGACCGGGCCCGACCGGGCCGGGCTTTGTTTTGGGTGACCCGAGCCCGGGCCGGAAACTCATCAGGTCGGGCCTACTCGGACCGGTCACTGACCGGGCCACCGGTTCGGGCCGGGCCGGAACAGTACCAGTCCCGGGCCGGTTCCGGGTAGGGCCACCCGGCCCGAGTCCAAGTCTAAACCAAGGTGGTCAGCAGTGGTGGGGTTGGTTGAAGTAAGAAAAATAATACTGTAAATAAGAAATAAAATAAAATACTCTCTCCGTTCGTATTATATCTTCCAACTTTCCTTTTTCATCCGTTCCAATTAAACTTCCATTTTCCCTTTTTGATAAAGAATTTGTGCTTCAACACATTTTTACACATTTCTCTCTCTTCTGCACAACTTTCCAACACACAATATCCACTTTTCTTAAATTGTGTGCCAAAGTGAAATGGAAGATATAATAGGAACGGAGGGAGTAACTAGATCAAGTTGACGATGTGACAATGTGTACGTGACAATGTGTTGATGATGTTAAGAAGAGAATGGAGAAAATTATCACTGTGACTAAAAATTATCATGTATTTCTCAATCTATGATCTAATCACTTTTTTTCCTAATTTGATAGGAGAATGAGATGCTAATCACGTTGCATATACATTAGATGAAAAGCTCATCTTTCTTTTAGTCATATTTTGGTCAATCAATTTTTTTGGTCATATGATGGGAAATTCTTTTTCTTTTAGTAATATTGTGGTAAGTTTTCCAAGAATGTTGATCTTCACTGTAGTAGTTGGTCTGGTCCAAGAAGAAAGCTGAGGTTTGTTTCTCCAGTTTGGTACCAGATGTTCCTCAAAAAGCTGAGAACTCAATTTAGCATAGTTTGAACCTTGTAAACTAAATGACCACAGAAGTAAATGATCCTCGTTCAATGAAATTAGAGAAGTAATTTGTACCCGCACGGGTAGCTCAGTTGGTCGAGCGGTGGGAAAAATTGGACGTAGACCAAAGTTCGAATCCCGCAGCGGCCAAAAGGGGATTTTCAGAACCTGAAATAAGGCGGTGTGACCCTCTGGTGCGCACGGGTAAAAGCCTACTGCCCCTTTGCCGACTGAGTCACCGTGATTTACTCCCCCACCATCCTGTCGGGTCGGGGTGGGGGCTCTTGGGGTTGGGGATTCAACCTTTTGGACGTAGAGAAGTAATTTGTGTCAAACTTGGAAAATACTGCCATATTTAAAGTCGAGTACTACCAAATCATGACAATAATAATTATTTTTATTTTGAGAATAAAAGAATGATAATCATATTTTCGAATATACAAACGTTTTTAGTCTTATTTAGTATAATTTCTTTGAGAGCAATGATCTAAAGGCTTTCAAAGCTAATGCTACGTGCCTCAAGCCACCGGGATACAAGCACTTCTTGATAGAGTAATGATGGATGGAAAAGGCCCTGAAATAGTTCTTTACTTCAGTGGTATAGGAACATGAAAAAGGGCAATGACCAGGGTCAGCATCTGGCATCAGACTGAAGGGGCCATGCGAAAGAAAAGCAATAGTAAATCTGCACAATTGTTTCCAAGGAAAACAGTACGTGGCTGCCTGGCTGGTTCTTGCTTAGCATGCCAAATCTGAGTGAATGAAAGATCGGAGCTGGATTTTGGTCTAATCTCTTCATAAGATGAAGAATAAAACAGATTCCATCTTTTAGTGGCTTCCAAGTTCCAAGTCATCATCCCATCAGCATCCACTGTGATCAAGATTCAAGAGTGCCAGTATGTACCTGGCAAATTCTCTTCCACGGACCACGGGGAATCGTATCTTCATTTCTTGAATACCTGAATTCCGTTCAAATGAGAACGTAATCAATCTAATAAAAGAAATCATAAGCTAAGGACCTTTGGAATCATATCTTCACAATTAAGAACAAATCATTATCATTGGATTGATCTAGTTTTTGGGAAAGTTAAGTTAAAGATGGTTTTATTTAAACTAAAATTTTCTGGCCTGGTCAGATCTTTGTTCTCATTGATCCGGTTTGATTTGGTCTAGTCTGAATTGATATGATATTTGTCTGTTCTCTGTGTATTTTATAACTATACTAAGTCTGGCAGGTGTAATCTAGTTTATTCGGGGCTGAAATTTTTTATACAAAAAAAATGCATTTCTGATGTATGTATGTATAGCTGTACGTTGAGTGAGAATGTGGTAAATCTGAAGAGATGGAATTCTTGTGCTGGAATCGGCCATCTCGTGAAGATCAAAAGAAATGTCTTGACAAGTACGAACGCAGTTTTGCTAACGAAGAGGAACACTGACTCTTTCTTTCTTTATTACTGTGTGTATGTGCTATCCATTACTGCTTCCTCCAAATGTGTTTACTCACTCTCTCGGTGCGGACAGGTGCGGCACATTCAACTATGACACTGAATACAGAGGAGCCACCGCGTATTCACTGAAACAAGATACACAGCTTACCAAAAGGGGCTTCTTCGTCAACCATTCCCGTGTTCTAGTTGGTTCTGGATCTGCCGCTTTCGAAAAAGGCAAAAAAGCCCTTCAGACCTGGAGGTCAGTCTCTTCCTATTTTACATACATTCTTCTTGAGATGATCAGTTTTGAGCAGGGCATGGGATCGAGATTTAATTTAAATTTGGAGTACGATTTTGCGGTTAGTCACAAAAAATTGCAGGCATTTCAGCTTGAACTGGACATTTGTGGATCCGAAGAGTAGAATCGGAGTTGGGGAGAAATTTTGTGTGTGCGTTAAGGAATTCTTGCCATGGGTTATGATGCCTTTACAAGTGCTGTATGTCAACGATCAAACCAAAAACAAAGACAAAGGGATGATGGCCTCCTTCAGTTTTGGTAGTGGAACTCTTCAAGGCCACTTGTTGGTTTGTTCCCTATTCCAACCATATCTTTTCAACACTTAAACTTACTTTTAAATAGTCCTCTACTTGATCCTAATTATAATCACATGAATGATGCACAAAACATTTGAAAAACAACTTAATGAAAGTAATATCTAACAATGAAATATAAGTATCATATTATCTTTGTTTTACCAAACCCTAACTTCCGCGGCTGTTTGTTTTAGGTCTCAGCCTACTAGCTTGGCTAATTCATTCTTTATTAAAAATTTATACCTAGTACATCATAGAAATGGACGTACTAAAGGAGTCCTATTTTCCCAAGAGTGGCTAGCTACACTCCGGGTTACTGAAGTCTACACACAACAATTCACTCTCATATCAGAAAGATAAATGGTTTCGATTCCAAACCAGAGGATGCTCTCACCCACCCTTACTCTTATAATGTTGGTGAACTTATGCTTGTTAGCACTCTCATAGTGTTCGAATGTTCATACTTCCCCCAATATGTTCACCTTAACCGACCTTATCCTTGGAGTAGGTTTGAACTTCATGGGAAGAAGGGAGAAGGGGCATCCTACCAAACCGAACCCACCCGCTAGTGCCTGAACTCTCATAAGCAGTCTTTAGTCTTTACATTTATTCATCTTCTAAACTTCAATTTGGCACGTCCCTCGGGAATGAACGAAGCCTAAAATATGCCTCATTGATTTTTTTTGAATAAATCTTTGGATGGACAGGCTGGGGAAGAGCGGTTCTCAATTTCTTTGGATGAGAATGACAAAGTTTGGTATGAAATACTCTCCATCTCCAAGCCTGCCCATTTTCTCTCTTTTGTGGGATACCCCTACGTACTACTTCGACAGAAATCATTTGCTCATCAATCAAGTAATGCTGTTAGAAAATACTTGGGACCTTGATTAGCTCCATCATATATATCTTTAATCTGCTCAGAGCCGTTTCTAATTTAGTAATTGTACTTGAATTTCTTTCAAAATGAACCATGTACTATCATATTTTGTTCATTCTAGTGCAAACTAATTCTACTTTTAATTTCTGGACAATTAGATGAGTCCTTTTTTTGGTTCTCAAGTTTCATTTTTTCACTTTTGGTTCCTTAAATATAGATTTATGGTCCATTTGGCCACTTATATCCAATCAATTTCTGTACAAGTTCCGATTCATTTCCACCGAAAAGTTGCCGGAGTTGTATTGTAAATGGATATTTGTGGACTTCTTAAAATCCAGATTTGTTAAAAAATCCATGAACATCCTCATTTCTTAAAACATCCACCTTTTTATGATAACTTCTATCGATTGACACAAGTCTATAAACTTTATTATGAATGACATTTGGAGATTTTACAGAAAACAAGAGCTTAAACTATAACTCTTTACTAACGATCTAAAAACATGACCAATAAAATAAGTAGCACACAAGTGATCCAACAAATATGATACTACCGTATATAAGATTTGAACTCTTTTCAAAGAGGCCAAGGGTTTACTTGTGATAGATATCTCGTGGTTGTTCATAGTAAACTAGATAATGATCTTAAAGTAGAAAGAATTGGAGGACATAATTCTGCTCCATAAATTTTCTTATATACTTCTCTAATAACGCAAAATAATGTGTGGTGTATAATGCTTAAAGCAGATATTGAAGTAGCAAAGCGATGATATAATGAGATGGTGACAAGATTGTTTTACAATAACATTCTAAAAAACCCCAATAACACTAGACTCTAATAGGGCGCGGATTGTGTGAAATATCAAAGTGGCTTACCAATGGGTAGCCTTGAAGGATATATTTATAATAGATAAAGTTTTACAAATTACACAATAATCCCAATATTTATGATCTATTCAGTTGCACAAGGTTTTAACCAGAGTGTTGATTTTCCTGACACTTTAAGTCCAGTTTTAATCCAATATTTACAAATTACACTTTTAGTCCACCACTGTCCGCATAGTTCTCACCATGACTGTTTCTTTTGGTTGGCTTATTCGTTAGGTAGATGTCAAGAATGCATTTCTTCACGGTCATCTCACTGAGGAAGTATACATGCGTAGCCCCCTGGATCGGTTCATCCTCACTTTCATCATTATGTGTGATTGTGTGTTGTTTGCGTAAGGCCATTTAAGGTCTTAAGCAAGCTCCTCGGGTTTGGTTTCACTGTTTAAGCAGTTTTTTTATTGAGTCACGATTTCTCGTGTAGTCGGTCGGATAATTCATTTATTATTTTATCGTTAGAGTAGTTATATTGTTATCTTCTTGTATATGTGGATGACGTTATAATTATTGGTAACTTTGTGTCTTTTATTAATAAATTCTTATTTACTTTAGCTCAAGTCTTTGCTGTGAAGAATCTGGACTGGTAACACTATTTTCTTGGCATTCAACCCTCCCACACTATGCATGGTCTTTCTCTCTCTCAACATAAATATGTTACTGATCTTCTCAAACGTTTCCATCTTCATAACTCAAACCAGTTTGTACTCCTCTCCCTTCACGCACCACCTTAACTCAAACGTTTCCATCTTCATAAATTAGTTTCCTAATTTATGCATGCCCTCCGCACTTCACATTTTTGGCAGTTAAGCGTATTTTAAGGTAGCTTCAAGGGACATCAGATCATGGACTTCTACTTCGCCCTATGAAGGACCCGTCGATAGTCATAGCCTATTCTGATGCAGACTGAGCTGGTTGTCAAGATAGTAGCCTATCTACCACACAATATGCCATTTTTTGGGGCCTAATTTGTTGTCTTGGCAGTTTAAGAAGCAACCCACTGTTTCCAAATCCTTCACCAAAATCGAATACAATGAGATTGCTTATATTGTTCAGGATGCACGGCATATCAGGTCTGTTTTGAATATAAATTATTATGTAATTTGTAAAACTTTATCTATTATGAATATATCCCTCAGGGCTACCCATTGGTAAGTCACTTTGATATTTCACAGATTGTAGCAAGAATCGGCCAAGGTGTAATAAAATAGATATGAAAAGTAGAAATATAGTTTGAGGAAGAAGATGAATATGTCGTAAGTCACATGTATTGCACCAAGTGTCCGCCACTATTTATACAAGGTCATGCGACAATATATTAGTAAAGCAATACAAACAAGGAAACTAAATAAAATATATTGTGCAATCCCATGTGATACGTAATCAACTTGTCATGCAAAGACCAAACATGATATATGCATATCACATATTACTCCCCCTCAAATCGAGTGTAAGTCTTTAACTCTCAGTTTGGACCAAATTTACTAAAATCGTTTGGTACCAAGAGCCTTTGTGAAGATATCGACAACTTGATGTTGGGTGGAGATTGGTTGTGGTTGGATCTCGTGACTCCTAACGCGCTCCCGAACAAAGTAATAGTCCATTTCAACATGTTTGGTGTGTTCATGATATTCCAGATTAGTAACAATATACCGGGTTGCCTAATTGTCACAAAATAATGACGTGGGTGTAACAGAGAAAACTCCAAAATCACGAAGCAGCCAACGTAGCCAAGTTTTTTCACTAACAACAATTGCCATATCCTGATACTCTTCCTCAGCGGATGAACGAGATACCACAATTTGTTTTTTTGTATGCCAGGAAATAGGTGAGCCGCCTAAGGTGATGAAGTAACCAAAATTGGAGCGCCGAGTGAAGGAACAACTAGCCCAATCAGCATCACAGAAGCCCCCTAGTGAAAGGTCTGAGCTTGATGAAAGAAAGATTCTTGGTCCCAGAGTGGCTTTGAGTTATGGAAGTACTCGATGTGTTACATCGGTGCGATTGGCATGGTTGTGAAAGAAACTGACTGAGCTGATTCACCGGGAAGACAATATCAGGCCGTGTGACAATAAGATACTCCCTCCGTCCCCCTAATATTGGGATGGAAGGAAGTAGTTTTTAAGAAAAGTAGAATTATGTGGTTGATAATGAGTTGATAAAGTGGAAATAAAGTAAGAATGAATTAGAGCCACACAATTTTTAACAAATATGGTATGAGACAATAATAGGGGAACATCCAAAAATGAAAAAATGGGACAATTATAGGGGGACGGAAGGAGTATATTAAACAGCCTACGAGTCACCAATACATCCTTGCATCAACAAAGGCACTGTCATCATGAGGGTGTTACTTAAGATTTTGCTCCATGGGAGTGGGACTTGGTGGACTGTCGAGCATGCCGCTTTCTCGTAGTATATCCAAAGTATATTTCCGCTGGCTAAGAATAATCCCGTTAAGAGAACGAGCAACTTCTATCTCTAAAAGATATTTGAGTGTGCTGAGGTCCTTGATGGTGAATTGTTCATGGAGATAGTGCTTGATTTGAGAGATGTGGGTGAGGTCATTTCCCGCTAGCAAGACATGCATCATCCACGTATATCAAAACAACGGTATAAGTACTCCCTCGGCGGTAAATAAAAAGTGAGTGATCGGCACGGGATTGCCGAAAACCAATCTTGGTAAGGGCACAAGTGAATTTTTCATACCAATTACGGGAAGCTTGGTGAAGACTGTAAAAAGACTTTTGTATCTTGCATACCCGAGTGTCACCTTTCTTAGCAAAGCCTTGCGGAATACGCATGTATATGCCCTCGCGTAAATCTCCATGCAAGAAGGCATTATTTACATCAAGTTGGTGAACCACCCATTGACGTTTAACAGTAATAGCTAAAAGGCATCTAACAGTAACAAGCTTTGCGACTAGGGCAAAAGTCTCATAAAAAATGAATGCCCTCAATTTGTGTAAATCCCTTTGCAACCAACTGCGCTTTGTATCATTTGACATCACCATTGAGTTCGTATCTGATTTCATAAACCCACTTGGATTCAATTAATCTCTTTCCTGAGGCAATGGAACTAACTTCCATGTCCCGTTGGCTTCCAAGGCTTGGATTTCCTTTTGCATGGCTGCTCTCCATAGTGGATCCTGGACAACTTGAGAAAAGTACTTAGGCTCATCATGAGAGTTGATGGCCGCCAGAAAAGCACGATGAGCCGGTGAAAATTTATTATAAGAAAGATAATGTGTGAGAGGATGTACCGTCAAGTTGGCCATGTTGGAAGGGTGTGTCGAGTGGTGGAGTGAAGGTGGTAAGTCAACATAAATGAGGTCCAAGTGTGCGGGTGACCGTCACACACGTCTAGTTTTCCGAGATTTCAGGACTTTTTGTGCTTCACCTTGTCCATCATGTGTTCACTCAGTGGATTCAGGATGATCAAGCTCATGAGATGGCTCAATCTGTTGTGCACTAGAAGAGTGTTGCACGGGAGGAATGTTGCCACGTATGACCGGCCTTATCAAGTCAAAGTTCTGTTGTGATGTTGAATTATCCGAAATGTGTGACAACGCCATGCGAATGGCATTATCAAAGGACTGATCGGCCGTTAAAAAAGTTGCCTTGAAAGAGAAAATATTCTCAAAAAAAGTTTTCGTAGCTTGTTTAAAAAAAAGTTACATCTATAGAGCTATAGACCTTGTGTGTTTTAAGACCAAAGACTTTACAAGTCTTTTGTCCGTTAGAGTATCCCAAAAATATGCAAGGACTCTTCCTCCTGATCTCGCTGAATTTATCTTTCATTTTATTATCACGAGCATAGACCAGACATCCAAAAACGCTAAGATGATTATAATCAAATGGCTTCCCAAAACTCATTTCAAATGGGCTTTTATTCGAGATGACTAGTGCTGGAAGTCTGTTTATAATAAAAACAACGCTAAGGATGCATTCCCCCCATATTTCTATGGGCAAACCAGCTTGGAATCTCAGAGCTCTAACAACTTCCAAACTGTGTCGGTGATTTAATTTAACAACCCCATTCTGCTAAATGTGTATCTGTACATGAGATTTCTAAACAAATACCATTTTTACTATAATAATCCTGCAAAATGCGGGATTGAAATTCTCCCCATTATCTGTGCGTATCCGTTTAACCGTATGACCAAATTGGATCCCAATCATATTACAAAAATGTACTACCTCCGTCCCACTAATATTGAGACATGAGGATGTGGCACAATTATTAAGAAAAGTGGGTTTATGTGGTTGATATTGAATTGATAAAGTATGAATAATCTAGACCCACACAAACTTTACTAAATTTCGTATGAGACAATCTTAGTGGAATTTCACGAAATGGTAAAATGGGACAATCTTAGCGGGACGGATGGAGTATTAAAAATTGGCACATATCAGATTTTGCATTCAACAGATAAACCCAGCACTTCGTATAAAATCGTCAACGATGGAAACAAAATAGTGAGCACCCGTGAAAGAAGCACATTTGCACCCGCCAATATCACAATGAATCAGATCAAAACTACACCTTGTTTTAATAGTACTGGTAGGGAATATGAGACGAGTCTGTTTAGCATGCACACAAGAATCACAAAAAGAAACATCTTTCTTAAAACCTTGAAAATATTAATGTGATGAAGTTTATCACTGGAAGCATGCCCCAAACGCCGATGCCAAACTTCAAATTGTGAAGAAACCATCATTGTCGCTCGCTCGCTGTTGAAAGTTTCCAAATAATATAAACCACTCTGAAACCTACCCATTCCAACCAGCCTCTTCGAGAGTGAGTCATGTATCACACAAAAATCCCCCAAAAAATGTAAGTGTACAATTGTGTTCTTGAATAAGTCGGTTGACCGACAATAAATTGCATTGAAAATGTGGCACAAATAAAACATGTGATAAAGTCAGTCCATTAGGCGTTGAACAATCACAAAATCACCGTTTGGTATTCGAATAGGGGACTCAAATGGATTTTCCATGATATTGGTTAAAAGAGTTTTGTTGCACGTAATATTCTCTGACGCCCGAAGCCGAAATCCTGGTCAATCTCTTTTCTAGTTAACCATACTACAATACTCAAATAAAACCACGAAATTGCAATTGTTGATAAAGACAACAATCATGGTGACACAATAACTATTGATTGCATGTCTCCATGTTACATACAATCTGGTGATAAACCCAGAGACATTTTTGTCACTTCACTTCTACATGATGGCAACTATGGAGATTGGCTCGATGAAATGACCAATATTCTTTATGCCAAAAATAAAATCGGATTCACCAACGGCGATATTCCTATGCCGGAAAAGGATTAAGGAAAAGCAAGAACGAGGTTATGTTATACATGATGTCCCTATTTAAATTCAACATTCTGATCGTCTTTCTTTATGTTGATGATTTCACTGTCACGCGAAATAACTCAAAATCAACCGGAGAATTGAAGAGATAGAGACATCTTTTAAAATGAGTTACTTAGAATTAAAACACTACTTCCTCTAGGGAAAGAAGACATCTTCTTATCTCAAGAAAATATATTAAAGGCATGCTACATAAGTTATAAATGCAAGACTCCATTGGTTTCAAATGAGAAATTAAAGAAAGTAGATGGGTTAAAGAAAATAGATGCTATCAATTATCGAAGCATGATTGAGAGTCTACTTTTTTAACGGCTACGAGGCCAGAAGTCATGCATGTATGCTACAATTTTTCTCTTGAGGATCATGAAACGTCAAACAGAGTCTCACTAAATATGGAGCAACAAAGAGACTCCTTAGGTATCTATAAGGGACAGTCAACCATAGCATTTGGTACAAAACAAGTTGTGACTCACGAATTGTAATACTTGAAATTAATTTAAAGGGATTAATAATACTACTCATACCAACAAGGTGCATCTCCTTTTAATGGAGCTCATTAGCTAAGAACTCCAAGTTAAGCGTACTTGCATGGGAGTAGCCTTGGGATGGGTGACCCCTTACAAGTTTCTCAGGGCGCGCCCGAGTGAGGACAAAGTGAAGGTTTGTGAGGACAGTACTAGAGGACTGGATGGCATTCAAGAGTAACTACCTCGGGCTTTAGGGGGTCAGAGTGTTACAGGTGGTATCAGAGCAACCCTGCGATAGTGTGCTGATCCGTTGGATATCGGGTGGACACCTAGCAAGGGAGGATTCTGAGGCTTGATTGAGATTATCTTATAGGCGCAATGAGGACATTACTAGAGGTCTAGAGGGTCGATGATCAATATGACTTGAAACGCACCTCCGGTTACACATTTAAGCTTGGTTTAAGAATTTTCTCATTGGGATCAAAGAAGTAAGATTCAGTTTCACAGTTATCTGTAGAACCTGAGCATGTTGCACCAGCTGTAGCAACATGTCGAGCTATATAGTCAAAATGAATATTACTCCCTCAATCCCATTATAAGGTTGCCACTATCCTTTCTTGAAGGTCTCATATAAAGGTTCTCATTTCTATTTTAGGAAACAATTAACATTATTTAATGACAACTAATCACCAAATATTAAAAAGAACACATCTATAACATCATAGTTATCATTAATGACCCCATTATATATATACCCATCAAAACTATGTATCAAAATGTACTCGAACAATCTCATTTAATTATTGTCTAAATAACCATGTCATTTTACAATGATAACTTTTAAGCGGGACGGAGGAAGTAGAAGTATGAGCGAATTGCAAGTAACTCAGTTCAACACGATCATACTGAGCACATCGACATCAACTCATCAAGTATAACTTCTTGATAGATGTACAAGTAAATGGGTATATTGAGATAAAGTACTGCCTAAGAGAGGAACAATTGACGAAATTTTCCCAAATGACCAATCATGAGATAGATTCCAATTTCTGTAAAGAATGCTTGGAGTACTGACAAATGCATCAAGGAGGAGTATTAAGCAGTGATGCATTTATATAAAATATTCTATGTAGAAAAAGTTGAGTTATTCTAGAGAATTAAAGCTAGAAATATTCTAGAGAATTCTCAACTAGAAAATTTATTTGCGCAGTGTAAAATAACTTGAGATAGTTATATATTACTCTAGATTTCTAGCATTTAGTAAGGATCGAGAATGACCCTTTAGCACCAATAAATATGACCTTGTAGTCATTTGTTCACCAAACAAATTCAATATAATCTAAGTTTTATAGACACAAGTGCTCGTTCTAGTCTTGCGTACATGACCAATTACAAGACTTCACTCTATTCGACTATTCTACACAACACACATACACTTGTAGCTCACTAAAACCATTTATTGTATTCATACACCAATGATAACTTCCATTTTCAAAAAGTAGTCACGCAGGCAGAAACTTTACTTGAAGAAAAAATCCATTTTGAGATTGCGAACCAGAACTTATTTATTATTCATCATTAAATAAAATAGAAGTAAAAATGAAGTGCTTGGATGAAATTGAGCCCACAAAAGTTGTGTTTCCTTGAAACGAATTTGTTTACAACACATTAGCAAATGTCTCTCAGGATCGGCTAAATTAAAGAGACGCAGAATAAATCTGTTATGTGGTGCACTTTTCCAAACGCAGTTATTCAATTCAAACGCCGCACGCGTTTCAATCCAAAGCTAATTCTTAGACTCTTCAATCATTTTATTTGCTATCCTCCTTCAATCGAAAATAGTAAACCGTAAATTAAAGAAATATTTGGCCGGCGAACCTTAAATGATTGCAGAAAACATCTAGAGCGAAAATATAATAGCAGTTGGCATTGAATTAATTAGTATTACCCCGTCTCAAAAAATACTTCCCGGTTTGACTTGACATGACATACTTATTAAGAAAGTGGAGTAAAGTGGAAATGTATGGTTTTATTTGTGTGAGAAAAAGATAAAATGAATGTGAGCCACACAAATTGTCCAAAAAGAGAAAGTGAGAAGTATTTTTTGGAACTACCCAATATGGAAAGTGAGAAGTATTTTTTGAGAGCTGAGGGAGGGAGTAATATTTTAAATCGGCTTTCCTGCTTTTGAAGTATCATCGATTACACAGTAAACATATACTCCATGCTTTAATTTGTGGAAATAACTATTAACAACAACAAAATTATATTAGGAGATGGAGAATGCAAGCCCTGGTATAAATTTAACGGACCGGACGCAAATAATTAAGATAGATCCCGGCCCGATCTAGTTAGGACCGGGGTAGATCGATTAGATCATAATGCATCGTTTATAAGTATACGAAAACCAAAGTGTTTCACACACACTCCTACCCTAATTGTCTGTTTAATTACATAGACAATTCGTTCAGAAGCTGCATTGTAGACAAGATAACTAGGGATATACACAAAATATAAAAAAAATGATATATAGTAGGTGCAGTGTATAAATTAAAATGTGGTAAATCAAGCTAAGCAAGCATTATATATATTCTCCATATAAAAAATAGATGGAAGCAAATAAATACGATAGTACTATTATGTATAATTTAGATAGAGCTGAGGGATCGGAATGGAAGGGATACTATACGATGAAAAAGAACTGAGATATTGGCACGGCTCAATCAAAGCTGCTGCTAGCCGCGCGCGCGCAATTAATTCTCAGGCCGGCCGGCGGCATGCATGGCTGCAAGTGCAAGCTCTGAGTGAACCAGGCCAATATCAAAGTTTCTGTTTCATTTTTTTATGTACTGGCCGGTCGATGGATCTATGAGCAGAAAGAAAGAAAGAAAGGGTAGATGAGAGATGGATCGGATAGATCAGAAGGCAGGCAGGCCAAGTGATGATGATGAAGAGCTACATAAATAATGTATGGAGTGTCTCGATCAGCTGGGAAATTTATTAAGGATCGATGGATACGACTGTATACGTACTCACTCACTACGTTACTCTCTATACGTATATATATATATATATACATATGCATGAGATGAAACGCATAACTTAATTATCAATATTAAACTACTCCATATCAACTTTTTTAAATGAAACGAAACAGTATCACAATTATATATATTAATTAACTAGCGAGCTGTTTCCACAAGGCAGGTCCTACCTATTTATGGGCCCATGGGCGAGATGCACTGCACTAGGCTTATACACAAGATAACTCGTAAACTATACATATTTAAAATATGAATTATAACAAAAATATCTAATAAAGGTCATAACATAAAGGCCAAAATCACTTTACTTTTATTTAAATTACATATTTTGGAAAACGTAACAACACAAGTATCACATAAGAGACAAAATTCCCTAAATAGGAGTAAAAAGGTTTTGAAATTCCAAAATAGGACGATCATGTTTTGTATTCCCTGAATAGAAGTGAATTTTTGCCAAGTTTGGCATTACTAGGCTTTAAACATGACATTTTCCCCCAGACTTAGCAGAATTAATCCTATTTTGGAATTTTAAAACGTTTTTACTCCTATTTAGGAAAATTTCTAATTACTTACATAAAAAGATAAACATATTACTTAAATCATTTATCGGAGAACAATGTGAAGCAAAATTATCAATACTTGCTTAAAAGGAATAAAAAACATTTAAAGCTGAAGAGACGTGTAAACTGAAGAGACGTGATTTTTATTGATTCATTGTGTTGCTTTAAAAACTACAACTGGTCCTACTTAAAATTAATGTATATTCATTTTTTAAATTTGGCTTTATTTAAGACATTTTACTTATGTTCAATTTTTTTCAAATTATCAACAAATTTTAAACATTAGACCTAATTAATTGACTTTATAATAAATACTCACACTATATATGGAGGAAAAAAATTTTGGGCCTATTTTTGTCTCTATAAACTTTCGGGTCTAGGGCAGTCATCCCTGTTGCCCCCTCAGGACCGGCCCTGGTTTCAATCGACAAATTTTTAATAAAAAATCCTAAAATTATATATATTCAGTGGCTATAGTCCACGCTTATGTTACTTTTATACATTATATCCATGTCATATATACATATACGAATGCATATTAATTAATAGCTGCCTGCTGCCTGCTACTCTGCTAGTGTATGTTCGTATTTAATTTACAGATGCGGCATTAATGATTTGAATAAAAACTGGTGCGTGCAATTATGGTTATACGTATTATCGAAGCCCAAACTCACAACAGATACACTCACTGCCCGCGCGCATTTATTTCCATCTTTAATTTTATTAATTAATTTTTAGAGTAATATGTTTTTTTGGATTCTTTTAAGCCCATCAGATCAAACTTGCATAATTATAAAATAAGATATCATGCGTTTAGGATGCTTTTACTTGGACTGTAATTCCTCCCAGACCAGACCAATTCAGATCAGACCAGACTTGGATAGTTATAAAAAGAGTTATGCTAGAGGTACAAAAACTTTTACAAAAAGTCTTACAAAAGAGATATGTGACATCATCACATTATTTAACACATCACATCACATTTACAACACTTTTACATCAATGGTAATTAGAATAGCCACATCACTTGTTTGTAAGTTTTTTTTGTAAGCGTGTTTGTACTTCTAGCATTTTCTAATGAGAAAGAGAAAACGTATATATACTACTAATGTTTTCTCTTGGATTTAAATTTGGTGGTCTAGTCTGGTCTGGTCTGATTTAGTATCATTGGTCTAGTAAAGATGTTTTTACTTGGACTGTAATTTGCTGTTCTGATCTGATCTGATCAGATTTCTTTGTATAAGCTAGCTAAGCTACCTTTTTGCCCAATCAATCTTATGCGTTCATATATGGGCCGGATCGGAAATTGTTCGACCCAAGTTATAAATTGAGACACTGCACATACATCGCCGGCAACTGTTAAGCCATTAACTTCATTTACCTCAAGTGGAGGACCTAAAGGGGCATCCACAAAAATAATACTCTTATTTTGCTCGATAGTATGAAATTTTGGACGAGTTTTTAGACTTTATGAATGAAATAGAATTTGTTGGGACTTGAATGAAATAGTGTTGCTTTGAAAATAAATAACATGTCGAGGTTTATTCCTTCAACCCGTTAGGCCCAACAAGTGTCTTAAGGGTTTCGAGTGGAAGAGTGAACAAGTTAGATGAAGAAATTTGGGTATGCTGTATTGATAGCAAAGCCGAGAGACCTAACGTACAATGCTATGCTATGAGCTGATACAATTGCTAGAGTGCTAGAGTGCTAAATTGTGAACTCTTTACAACGAAATAAATGCTTCTATTTATACTGTCAATGAGTAGTTGGATGTGTTGACGTGGCAGACTGTGAATGGTTTGATCCCAACCACCAAATCTTCCGCATTGAATGCGCTTCCCGCCAAGATCTTTGGCTTCCCGCCAAGATCTTTGGCTTCCCGCCAGGATCTCTGGCTTCCTGCCAAGGGGTGGGGACGTTCGTTTCCATGTCCTACAAGACGAGCGGTTTGTGTTGCTTCTGGGCCAAAGCTTCTGGCAACGATAGGATACGTACATCTCCCGGGGTGGGGACGTTCGTCCCATGCACTTGCTTCCTGCTTCCTACTGGAACCATGGCTTCCCGCCAATGGATGGGGACGTTCGTCCCCATGTCCTACAAGACGAGCGACTTGTGCTGCTCCTGGGCCAAGGTTTCTGCCAACGCTAGGCTACGTACATCTCCCAGGGTGGGGACGTTCGTCCCATGCACTTGCTTCCTATTTCCTGCTGGATCTCAGGCTTCCCGCCAAGGGATGGGGAAAGTCGTCCCCATGTCCTACAAGACGAGCGGCTTGTGCTGCTCCAAGGCCAAGGCTTCTCCCAACGCTAGGCTACGTACGTCTCCCGGGGTGGGAACGTTCGTCCCATGCACTTGCTTCCTATTTCCCGCTAGAACCTTGGCTTCCCGCCAAGGGATGGGGACATTCGTCCCCATGTCCTACAAGACGAGCGGCTTGTTGTCTTGGGCCTTCTACGGATGTTCATAGGGCGACAGCTGGGGGTTTTCGGGTTTTATGGGCCATCCCTGTTGGGCCATTAACCCAACACAACGCTATTTTGATCTTAAGCTCTATTTAAAAATGATCTCAAGCTCTATTTAAAAATGATACAAAGTACTTTCTTTCGTCCTAAAAAAATTTCATATTTTCCTTTTTCGGCATGTCCAAAATAAATTTCACACCTCTATATCTAGTACCTTTTTAATATAAAATTACTTTTATACTCTTACTTTATTAGCTATTTATACTCACTTTCTCTCTCACACTATACATAATCTATTTTTTGTAAGGATATGATCATAAAGTCAAAAGAAAAAATTCCACTTTCTTACAACTCATAAAATCAAATTGTGAAGTTTATTTATGATCGAAGAAAATATGTTATTACTAACCCGAGTAGAGTGATAAAGTAATAATTCAAGCTAAAGGGATAGAATTTACAATGGATATGTTATTACTGACCCGAGTAGAGTGTGCTCAATCAGAACCGGCTTTGGGCCCTAGGAAGGTAGGCAATTGCCTAGGGCACCACTTGGAGAGGGGCACCATTTTGTTAGGGGTTTGTCCAAAAATAATACTAAAGTAAATGATATGAACACAAATGAGACCACTTTAAAAAAGTTCCAAAAAAGAGACTAAATTTACTTTTATGCCCTTTAATAACAGTGACTTGTATAACTGACCATGACCAAATGTCTAGTAACCTGGTGGCAGTGAACTATCCTGTCTGTGACCTGCCCCGCCTGTGACTTGTATAACTGACCATGACCCGCACTTGTTAGAGGGTTTAGCATCACATTTTTTTTTGAATAAAACACAACAAAAGCAAAAGACTTTATCTTTTAACAAAGAGTAAACCAACCATGGTCTATCATATCTCTCCCCATTTCCCAAGCATCGAGTATAGAGTTTGTCATTGAAACTCCTTTTCCTATCAACGGGATATTGAAGATCACTTATTCTTATAGGTCCTCTCTCTACCAACAAATCTATTTGGCTTTGAGATATGGGTGCCTTCCAATTTCCCGGGTCAAAGAAATCATCTAATATCTCGGGCATAGTGACTTGACCTACAATTTCTTCCTCGTGAACAATTACATTGTCCCTATGAGCTTTAACATTCTCATTCTCCTCTCCAATGTTTGCACTATTATTCTCATTCTCACAAACAGGATTTGTATTGTCATTGTCAACAATATTTGAGGAAGAAGGATTTGTCTTTACATATCGATCCATAGAGCCGGCAAACGATTGTATAACCAAATCTTTCCGCAACTTATTCTTTCTTTTTGTAGACCCCGACTCAAATTTCCGCTTTCCCGTCATACTAAAGATGCTCCTAATGACAATATTAATAGATAATACAAAGTACCAAAAACCACAAACTAATTAACAAAAAACCTAAAACTTCTATTCCTCTAAAATCTAAATACAATGACAAACTAAACAAAATTTAATAATTCATAATTGATTGGGCCATTTTAATAAAATCAGATTCAGCAGCACATTTGAAAAGTGAAAACATTAAACATTAGAGATGATTTGACATTTGACAATTGAGCAATTGAGTGACTCACCTGTCTGATTTCTGAAGCAACAAGCAGCGAGGCAGCGAGCAACTGGAGTAAGCGGCTGGCGGCAGTCGGCACTTCAGCAGATCTTCACTTGAATCACTTCTTCAGTTCTTCAGCGAATCAGCGCGCTGTGCGCCTGTGCCTCAGCGGAACCGCGGAACTACGGAAGGGCCAAGGGGGAATCGATTATCCGGTAATACTAATAGTTTTTTTTTGAGGCCCCTTTCCCAAGTGAGGCCCAAGGCACTTGCCTAGCCCAACTCCCCTAAAGGCCGCCTCTGATTATGATCATTATCATTATGATCATTATCATTATTATCATTATCATTATCATTATCATTATCATTATTATTATCATTATTATTATCA